GGGGTTTGGATGTTTTGTTGTCAATTCTCTACCCACCATTGACTACCACTTTACAAACTACCACCTCCTTAACATCACTTTCGACCTCAAACCTGTGGAGACACTAAGCAAAGGCCAGAAGTATAGGTTCATGTTATGCGTTTCCTTTGATTGTTATTCAGCAATAAACCTTACCTCGGAGCGGTATTTCAATGTTGCGTAGATGTCTAAACAAGTACGATTTGTGACAGCTGATTTTCGATTAGATCTTTGATTGTTTTATTACAGTGAGTTTGACGTTTTTGTTGGTCAAGATGCTAGTGCTTATTCCCTTTTCGGACCAGTGCGTGGTCAAGCTTGTGCACCTTTGGATTTATTTATGGGGCAACCGTGCCTTGCATGTACCAATTTCATGTTCCTCAGTCTCTGTTTCTCACTGTTACTGGGTCTTAAGGTGTCGGCGTTTGACTTGTAACAATAAAAATTTGGTCCACGGAATTATAAGTACTGCAATGAACGCAATTAAGTAGTTTGTTTTTTTACCAAAGTAAAGATGAGATCGTTTCTGGGGTTGTTTGGATTCATTAGCTAGCAACGGAATCTATTCCATTACCATTTTAATGAACTTAGCATTCTGGAATCAGCTATTTTTGCCCTTATTCTTTAGTAGTCACAGATCTGTTTATTACTTCTTTTTAGAGGCTTCTCAAGTTTTGTCATATTCGTCAGCATTGTAATACCACACAAAGACGGAACTTATTCCACGCCAGCGCTATCGCTACGACCACAGCAAACCTACCCAAGTAGTAGCAGCCCCAACTTTCTTACCTACCTGTCTGATTATGGACGATGATTAGATGAAGGAAAGGGGAGCTGTGGCAGTCCAATTTATGATTGACAGAGCAAATTAAATGTCGTGAAAGAATGTGAAGTGTAAATTAATGGCAACATTTGCAACAAATGCTAACATTAATTAATGCGAATTTTTAGTACTGTCTCCAGTTTCTAAGCCTTCTGCACTACAAACTAACATATTTTACCTCGGATTTATAATTGATAGTAGTTCCTTGTGTAGTGATCGTAAGGATGTTATGCGGAACAACCGAATTCAAATAATGTCCACCCGGAAATTCTCACACATGAACTGTTCGTTCATTCTCTAACGCAGCTGTGTTATGGGCATTGCTCTGTGTCGTCTGCTATTGTCAGAGACTGTTCCGAAGGTCCCTCTTTTGCGGTATCTTGAAGATCACCTGTCTCTACAGTACTTATCGAGTACGCAGTTGCTGTTGTCGAATTTCACTGAAAACCTCCAGCTTGTTTACTGTAGGACAGTTTGCTTATTTGTCACAAAGAGTTTCATAAGTGAGTTGAATGTGCTTCTCCTTTCGATGAAAACCATATAAATAGGGTTACATTACTCACAGAATATGCTTGGACAAGTGATATTACAATACTTTGTCTGCATAAATGACTGCATGAGGGACTGTTATTAGAGCCGTCCCAGAGACCCATTTCTTTCTTTTCTGCCCGTATATACGCATTAAGCCAAGTGTTATGCATCCATAATTCTAAACATGCAACATTAATGCCAATGGATAGAGAAAATGACATTGGATCAAATTCTACCTCGGGACCCTTCGACTGCAACAAAAGTGTAATGCACTGAGTGAGAGGAATTCTGCTTCTACCACAGCACAAGGGTTGAGAATGATGTCTGCCCCTGTCATCCACCCCAGCCCCATGTTCCGCAGACAAGCTAGGGACGACTGAACCTACACTGTCACAAATCTCTTAAGAAAGTTTAGCTCAAAGTTCTTCCTTACCACACCCGCGTATATTTCGACGATGACTTTACACTGAAGCTCCTCCTTTAATTGACTGTCCTAATCCCTCATTCTTCAATACTAACTCGTCTTGGGCTGGTGTATCAACATCTAGCTCTGACCACATATGATGTTCAGAAGATCTTCAAGTCTCTAAGGTCTGTGTGAAGGCCGAACAAAGCTAGAGATCCGCTTGAAACCGTTAAAAAGGATCAGTAACATTGACGCCATACAGCTGGCTTGTGTATGTTTTCGTGCAGCGCCAAGTACACTTTACTAGCTGGGGAGAAAGATCCATTTCGGAAAGTGCCGTGGCGCTTTGCGAAGGACGAGAAAGGTTGTGCAATGCACTGTTTTTTTATTACCTGTGTGAGTGCCCGTGACTCCGGAGGTCAAACTCGTAAAGACGTGCGGGCTGACCTATGAGCCATGCTAAATATGCACCTTCCTCTTCCCTACCTACTTATGTGCATCTAGCAAAGCTTCATGCTTTCTTATGGCTAATAAGAAAGTCTCGAGGCAATATAGACGATTTTGGCTATAGAGGTGCACAGTGGATCACAAGTTTGCAGTAACGAGGAGAAGGTAAGTTGAGAATAACAAGTGCTTGTTAACTTTGCCGCCAATCTCACTAACCGTACTGTGGTAAACACAAGCCAAAATGGTGTAAAAGGGACGCTAAGGTGCTATTACGTTCCTAAATCTCAAAATGCGCTCTAACTTTTCTTGGAACGCTTTGACAAAAATTAAGGATTATCAATGGCAGAT